TGTAAGCCCTCTGCTCATTACCTGGGGTAAGTGGGGAATTGGCACTTTTCTAGGCGCAGAATTTGGGATTCCAGAATTGTCTTGCTTGCCATGCTGTTGCTTTGTGTGGGAGGAGCTAGTGTAATGCATGGTGAGGGCTTCATTTCTGGGCTCCAGTGCAAAGCAAGAAGTGTGTGGCCTGGATGCTGCGGGCGATCCTATGTATTAACTTGCACCCCCCCACCCCCACTGATTCCTGCACTTTATTTTTTTCTGCCGGCAGTAATCACTCTCCGATCTACTGTAGTGTTGACTTATTTATTATGTTTATTGGCTACCTCCCCCTCTAGAATGGAAGCTCTGAGGGCAGGGACTCTGGCCTGTTTTGCTCACAGAGGTTTCCCAGTACCCATTGATGGCACCTGGCTCAGTATTTGTTGCATTAATGAAAGCAGGTGAGTGGTTTACATTAATGAACTACTTTCACATACTTCTTACTGCTTCTGGACTGGCATCAGCGGTGGGGACAATGTCTTCTGCATCCTTAAGGATTCTTCCCTACAGCCTGGATGTGCTTCTCCCCATGCAGAGGGGATTTGGCCCAGGCGGGGAGCTCCTGGTGGGTCGCCACCAGGGGGAGCCATGGGCACGTTCTGCAGCTGCTTCAGGAACGCACCTGGCAGGCCCTGGGCTGGATCCAGGAGATGGTCACACGGGGCTGGGGAATGGGGGAAGGGGGGCACACTTTTTACTCTCCAAGAAAGGTGACTCAGAGAGTTTTCCAGAACTGAAGGACTCTGCTTGAACACCTCCCAGTATTTGAGGGTACCAATTACACCTTCTATTATATTTGATTAGTGTTTAACGGTCTGCTGTTTTAAATAAGATAGCCTTATGTTCACCGGGAGCTAACATAGATTAGTGGTGGCAGCCAACACTGAACGCAGCTTATAGTATGCCAGGAATCTGCACTAAAATATAAATCTCCACAACTGGACAGGATAGGTTCTAGAATGGTCTCCGTGTCCCCACTTTACAGAGGCTGAGGCTGGGTCTGACAGGTGGCCCCGCCTGTGTGTCAGAAGGTCACACAGTGTGTGTCTGGGGTGGGGGGGCGTTTGAGCCTGCTTTCGTCTGCTGCCCAGGCTTTTAACCAGTATTTTTCGTCATGGCGGTCATCGTCTGGATTCGAGGTGCATGATTCACAAGGAAGAGGGTGTAGATCACAATCAGCTTTAATTCATCACCCCGAGTGTGCTGAGTGGGAAGGGCATTTGTATTCCTCTCCTGTGACTTTCTTTTTTTCCCCCCCCCAATTTGGTCTTTTTTAAAAAATTATTATGTTATGTTAGTCACCATACAATACATCATTAGTTTTTGATGTGGTGATCCATGATCCATTGTTTTCGTATAACACCCAGTGCTCCATGCAGTACGTGCCCTCCTTAATACCCATCACCAGGCTAACCCATCCCCCACTCCCCTCCCCTCTAGAACCCTGTTTGTTTCTCAGAGTCCATAGTCTCTCATGGTTCATCTCTCCCTCCGATTCCCCCCCTTCATTTTTCCCTTCCTTCTCCTAGTATCTCCCTGCTATTCTTTATGCTCCACAAATAAGTGAAACCATATGATAATTGACTTTCTCTGCTTGACTTACTTCACTTAGCATAATCTCCTCCAGTCCCATCCATGTGGATGTAAAAGTTGGGTATTCCTCCTTTCTGATGGCTGAGTAATATTCCATTGTATATATGGACCACATCTTCTTTGCAAATGACACTACAGATAAAGGGCTGGTATCCAAGATCTATAAAGAACTTCTCAAACTCAACACCCAAAAAACAAATAATCAAGTCAAAAAGTGGGCAGAAGACATGAAAAGACACTTCTCTGAAGAAGACATACAAATGGCTAACAGACACATGAAAAAATGTTCATCATCATTAGCCATCAGGGAAATTCAAATCAAAACCACATTGAGATACCACCTTACACCAGTTAGAATGGCAAAAATGCACAGGGAAAGAAACAACAAATGTTGGAGAGGTTGTGGAGAAAGGGGAACCTCTTACACTGTTGGTGGGAATGCAAGTTGGTACAGCCACTCTGGGAAAACAGTGTGGAGGTTCCTCAAAAAATTAAAAATAGAGCTACCCTATGACCCAGCAATTGCACTCCTGGGTATTTACCCCAAAGACACAGACGTAGTGAAAAGAAGGGCCATCTGCACCCCAATGTTCATAGCAGCAATGTCCACAATAGCCAAACTGTGGAAAGAGCCGAGATGCCCCTCAACAGATGAATGGATAAAGAAGATGTGGTCCCGTGACTTTCTTAACACATGACCACAAACTTTGTGGCTTAAAACTACAGAAGTGGATTCTTGCACAGTCCAGAGGCCAGAAGTCAGAAATCAAGATGTGGGTAGGGCCGTGCCCCTCTGGAGGCTCTGGGCGGGGAGGCTCCTTCCCTCCTCTCCCAGCTCCTGGGGCTCCTGGTGCTGCACCCCTCTATCGTCCCTCTTCACCTGACCTCCTCCCTGTGGCTTCTCTTCTCTGTCCCTGGCCTCTCTTCTTACAATGGCACTCGTCGGTGGATTTAGGACGTACCCAGTTAATCCAGGACGATCTCCTCATTTTACTATCTTTAACTTAATGATGTCTGCAAAGACCCTTTCCCCAAATGAGGTCACATTCACAGGAATCTGAGGTGAGGATGTGGGCATGTCTTTTTAGGGACCACAGTTCAGACATCTACGGTATTCATTCATTTTCTCAATGTCTAAGTATGTAAAGGAGACAAAGTCTAGGAAGAACAGGTGCTACTGTTTGTGGACACCTACTATGTGCCATTGGACAACTCTCATCAGAGCTAGCGTCTATTGAATGCCTGCCCCATGCCGGTTGCTTTCCATGTGGTAACATGTTTAATTCTCAAAACATCCCTAGTATTTATGTGCTGTTCTTATCCCCATTTCACAGATGAGAACACTGAGGTGCAGGAGGAAATCAGGGAACATGACCCAGGTGATGGGGCCGGGAAGTGGTGGGGTCAAGGCCCAGTGGCCCAGTTCCCCACCAGCCTGCTTGTCTCTGCTCCCCTTTTGAGTGGATATTCCTATGACCTCTTTTCTATGTGCAGAAGCTGAGGTGTAGAGAGGTTATGTGGCTTGGCCAAGGTCACACAGCTTGCCAACGGGTCTTAGTGCCCGGTCCATAATTTCTTGCCCTGGACACTGTGCTTGCTTTTTCCACTGTGCCAAGTTGTTGATCTCATCTGGCTGTAACTTGTAGGCTGGGTGATCAAAGCACTAGAGTGTTACATTGCTTCCATCCTTCCGTGCATGCCCCCCCGCCCCCAGATATGTATTAAGTAGCACCGCAGATAGCATATCCTGCAGACTTTATCTATAGGGGATTTCGTCAAAATCGGCCTTACTAAAGCATTGGTGTTCTTTTCAGAACTTTTTGTGTGCCTTAGGTCAAGTAGTAGCATTTATTCCTAAATCCCATGATGATAGAGTCATCCCTGTAGCTGAAACTCTTGTGGTTTTTGTCAATGAATGAAACCCCAGTGCTCGGGAACTTCTCCCTGTTAAAGCCTGCCTCAGTTTCCCAGGGCTGCTGTAAGGAAGGACCACGGACAGGGTGGCTGAGGCAACGGGAATTTATTGGCTTGTAGTTTTGGAGGCAGGAGGTCTGAGATCCGGGTGGCACGGGGCTGTGCTCTCTGAAGGCGCAGGGAGGAGCCGGGCTTGTTGCTTCTGGCTACTGGGGCTGCAGATAGTCCATGACGTTCCCGGGCTCCTGGGTCCACCCCTGCGGCCCCTGCCCTCCATCTCCACCCAGCCTTCTTCCTGTGTGTCTGTGTGTCTGCTCCTCTCTTCTAAGGACGCGGTCATAAGGGCCCGCCCTGCTCCAGGGTGACCTTCTCCTAACTGATTATATCTGCAACTATCCTTTCTCAAATGACATCATGTTCTCAGGTTCTAGGAAGGACATGGATTTGGGGGGTGCAAACCCTAGTACAGCACCCTTACTGGGGCAGTTTCCCAGCTTTCGGCTTTGTGTGTGGAATCAGTGCAAGTCTATGGCCCAGGGCCAAAGCTTTCTCTTCTGTAAGCTTCTTTCTGCTTGGTGTCCTCTGGAGAACACGGGACAAGAGCAGGCTGGGCGAACCGGGGCTTACTTGAAGGTTTGCATGTGGAGAGGCTGAGGTCCTTTAGAGACCCCAGCATAGATGTCGAGTAACCAGTTCGTTCTATGAATCTGGTGCTCTGCAAGAAGTCAGGGCCTGGGGAATACGTTGGGGTGTCAGCAGCAGATGGGGGCAGTTAATACTGTGGATGAGGACATGGCTGCCTGGGGAAAGGGTACAGACTGGGGAGAGGGCCAGGCCTTGGAAACTCCAGACTTTGATGGCAGCCAGAGCAAGGTGAGTCTGTAAAGATAGAAGCCAAGCTCTCATGGCAGAGGGCTGGAGGTGGGTGGGGGGAGAGGTTCATGGGCCAGATGCTGGTGAGAAGGATGGAGGGCAGAAAGTTGTCCTGTGGGTTTGAGGGGCCAGGGGAGCATTGAAGACCTTAGCAGGAGCTATTTTGGTGGAGGGATGGGAGCTGTGACCAGACAGGAGAGGCTTGGGGAGTGAGTGGGAGACGAGACCCACCAACTCTGTGAAGAAGCTGAGCTGCGGGGGATGAGGTAGCTGGAGGGGGCTGGGGGGGGGTCAGGATTTTATTTTCTTTCATTAAGATGAGAGAGACATGATCATAGATATCTTTCACCGGTAAGTGTCTAGTTGGCCATATAGATCACTGAACCCATAGCGTCTCTGCTCCTTTGTGCTCAGGGGAGCAGGGCCTGGGCCGTGGGCTGTGGTCTCTCCATGTCCTGAGTTTTCTGAGTTCAGCTGACCCAAGTCCATGGTCCTGCTTAACCGTTTCCTGGGCCTCAGGCCAACGAGGGAGAGATTTCCCTGGTTGCGAGCCCCTAGACTGATGGCTTATTCTGTCTCTTTTGCAGATGGATGAGATCAGAGGAAAGGACCGTGTGATTCTGGCCTTGGAGAAGGAACTTGGGGTTCAGACAGGTCAGACCCAGAAGCTGCTTCTTCAGAAGGAGGCTTTGGATGAGCAGTTGGTTCAGGTCAAAGAGGCAGAACGGTACCACAGTAGCCCAAAGAGAGAGCTCCCGCCTGGGATAGGGGACATGGCAGAGCTCATGGGCGTCCAGGTGAGGCGGACGGCGGCAGGTGCAAGCGCCGGGGCCTGTCCTTCTTTCTATGGGTCATTCTTCTGGTTACCTTGCCTGCCGCCACCTCACACCCTTCCTCCCTCCCATCCGTCCATCTGTCCTGCCCTCCCCCGCTCCCTAAACGAGCTGACATTCATGATGTGCCAGGCCCAGGCCTGGGGATGTAGAGGTGAGCATCCAACTGCCTGTGCCCCCAGCCGTCTTGAGCTCGGTGGACAAGCAGGAAATGACATCTGGGCCGCGTGCGCGATAGGAGCATAGGAAGGGGGCCCAGTCTTGAAGTCGGAGTCCTGGTAGGGGCTTAGCCAGCAGGAAAGGGCTTTGGGGGCAATGGCTTGGTGCTTAATGTGCACAGAGGAGGCTGAAGCAGCATGCACTCATTCGCTCATTCAATCACCACATATCTGAATGTCTGTCATGCATGCTCTGTGCAGATCCCATATGGGGTGCTGGCATTTCGGTGGTCAGCAAGATTGGCCCAGTGGGTTTGAGGAGTGTCCTAGCATGGCCATGATGGGCCTTTGTGAGAGAGGCCCAGTGGACAGGGGCTCAGACGTGACGGTCCCCAGAGACCACATTTGGCTGTTCGGGAGCCATTGGAGGGCCTTGTGGCCTTGTCACTTGGAGGTGAAGTCTTCCTGTGAGTCCCTGGTGGGACCTGGGGTGCCGGTCTGTGTGGCTCAACTTCAGGGAGCCCCACCTGGCGTTGGGCGTCCCAGTGAGGAGCTCTTGGTCACATCCCATGGGTTTTCTGAGAGTGCTTGGAGTCCTGTAAGCTTCTTCAAGGCACATCTGTATCTTGACGTTTTTCTTAGGATCAGCATATGGACGAGAGAGATGTGCGGCGATTCCAGCTAAAAATTGCCGAGCTGAACTCGGTGATACGGAAGCTGGAGGACAGAAATACCCTTCTGGCAGACGAGAGGAGCGAACTGGTAATCAGCCCCCTGAGGCACAGACGGTGCGCTTGTAGCGCAAGAGGAAGTCGCCCCGGGGCCACGAAGCCTGCCTTGAACACATAGTGTGGAGGCCTTCTGGTTTTCTTTACTCTCTTCCTCACTAATCTCTGATTAAAAATCTAGCACACGCTCACTGAAGAACGCTGAGACTGCCCTTTGTTTTATCCGGAGCAAACAGTTGGAGGGAGATTTGGGGAGTGTGGACAGGCTGTTCACTACAGTGTTGTTCATGCTAGCGACCAAAACCGACCCGAAACAAAACAAAAGCCCAGCTGTTCAATACTCCAGTACTGGGAAACACAGTTACAGACCCTTTATGCAGTGCATTCTGTGCCATCATTAAGAATGGTGATACAGGCCCTATTTATTTGCCATGGAAATGGGCTCACGGTAAATTAAATGATAAGCAGTTTCTAGAACGAAAATCCGTTGTCATCGTGCTGCGTATCGGACGTTGTTTTAGGTGGTGTGGTTATGGATCACGTTTATTTTTTGCATCTCTGTTTACTTTCTTCTGCATAAAAGTTCACGGATTTCTAATTTTAAAATAACGAACAGGGACTTTGGGTTAAAAACATAAATCTGTAGTAAAAAGAGCAGTTTATTGAATACGCGTAAATTTGCTGGATGAACAGCCAAATGGATTTTTATGAAGTGGGAGTCGGTACATAAACTTCTTGCCAAACGCCTCATCATATTCCTGTTGATTCTAAATTTTATTATGTTGTGCCATCCTTCGACCCAGCCCCAGCCCCAAGAGGGGCTTCCCTGATGCCGATCAGACTAGAAGGATACCCCGCCTGTTGTTGAGACCCAGGGAGCGCCTCTCCAGGGCTGATGCCCACCCTACTTATCTTTGTACCCCCAGCACGGAGTCTGGCAATGAGTGGCGCCCAGGCCTTCCCTGTTGCCTGCAGAAGGCAGAGCTTTCTGCTAGGTCTGCACTTTGGGGGAGAATGGTGGCCAGGAGCAGCTAGGTCACTGGATTGACTTTTATGCCCGTGACTCCTGACCCCTGTGGGTTATGCCCAGAGGTGGAGGAAGTGCAGACGAGTGGAGGCGGGGG